TCTGACGTGTTGACGTCATGAAACTCACTGGCGACGCGGCATCGCGGCTATCCTCGGCATTGCGGCCCGGTTTCAGTATCACGGCTGACTCATCTCCCATGCGAGAGTATGCCACCTTGTTTAACTTTAAATGCGTTGGACTCAGCGCTCAAGCTCAAGGTTGATCGCGCGTCGGTCGTGCAACCTATTCAAACGTTCTTCTCATTGTAGATTTTTTTTTGTCTGCTGCACTGCTTGCTCACCGACGAGATCTCTCTGGCAGTGATTTTACAATCGGCCTCGGTCGTTGGTTCCGAGTCGGTGTTTTGAAATTGAAATACCAATCGTATCTGGATCTGAGGCACTATAGTATTTGACTTCGGACGTTCGAATCCCCCATGGCATATATATGAACTGACTTCGGCTGAGCTATGCTACGGCCCACTGGCAGTATCAAGGGCGTCTCTGGGTTCTACCTTTTCGGCGTCCATCCTCCCCCATTCATGGTGATCACCATCCGTCCCGCCTCTTCCTCTGACACATCCACCCGCGCTGCTATTGCCTCTGCCATAATTCATGCCAAACGAATTGTGGTCTTGTCTGGCGCTGGCATCTCATGCTCGTGCGGGATACCAGTGCGTGAACGTAGACGAGGCAGTATGTTCCAAAGAGCCTGTTTGAAAAAATGGCATAGTCAGATATTACGGCGCATCGGTGGCTAGCGGCACATACACCCAGCTCACCTCAGTCAGCAGTTGCATGCATCTGCATCGAAAATGGTTCTCCTACGGCAACGATCCTAGCTCGGGTTGAATATACGCTGCTGCAGGCTTTGGTGAGCGGAGTCGGTCGCCATCGCGGTTCTGGCTTCGTGTTGAATTCGCGATCCTCCGGACTCAACGACCCAAACTGCTTCAACTCCTCTCCTGCTTTGAACCGAATTTCTACTTCGTCTATCCAGGTTTCTAAACAATTGGCCAGGTGAGTACCAAGGAACGCCCTTGTGTCCTCGACAAGCCAGTGCTTGAGGTACGAAACCGGAATTTGCAGGTATAATTCCCCAAGCAGGAGTCGCTCTACCACCAGCGCAAGGGCAAAGTGGAGAATTCGGGAGAAAGGGGAGCGGAGTCGGATGGGAACCCAGTATAAACAGTCCTCAACAGAGTTGGCACCTAAGACAAAGGGACCCATTGGTCTTCGACTCCAATCGCATGTCGGTCCATCGTTCTCTCCTTGTACACGCTCCCATCCCTGGTAAGATTGGTGGAGTAAAGAGTCCGCTGCCGCTTTGCGTGAAACCGTCATGATGCGACGATGTTCCGGAGAGAAGGAGTGCTCTTGATCGTAGCCAGGATCGGAACGCAGTTTCTGGCCGCCAACATCACTGTACTTGTATGAACGGGGATCCAATGCGCGCCAGAAGATGGCCATACACCAGAGCAAGCCCCCCGTACTACAGCTACGCGGCAAACGAGATCTGTCTAGAGGTCGATAAGTAGCGTTCCATCAATTTGTAGTGATGAACGTACAGGAGCTGTGAGCGCCACCAAACAACATGTCGTTATACCAGACACTTAGACTGGCCAGATGGGCCACCAATTCCGGATGCGACGTGTTCGTAACCAGGTTGTCGGCCAGCAGCGAATGAACGACCCCACAGCAGCTTTGACGTAAGAGCGAAGAGCAATAGAGATGACGCCCATAAACGATGGAGGGCTCTTGGGTCAATACCCAGTGCGGTGTATTCGGACGCATGAAACTGCGTGGTGTGGTTAGCAGGACATGAGCCACGAGCACGATGACGGACTTACAGAGCTGTGTGCTTGGAAAGTGACACTCCCTCCCATCGGTACCGAGGGTCGATCGTAGCATCGTCGCCCGGGTTGCGGGGCGCCTCATGCGTGCGTGGACAACGTCTGCAAACGACTTGACAATTTTCTTGAATCCAGGGACCTTGAGCGACGTACCCATGATGAGAAGAAGGTCAGGTTTCTTCCCGATGTCAATGGCTTGGATGGCCCCAATTTCGTCTCCGAGAGGGTGAGGCTCGTTGTAAAGGACAATGGCAGGGCGAAGGACCCCGACCTTGATCGAACGCTTGTTGGCAGCGACTCGCGCATCAGCTATAGTTAGGCCGTTGAGACTCAGCACATGGCGATTGGGGAGGGACTAGATAACGCACCGCGAGCCTTGCATTCAACGCAGTCGGGTGCTACGCCCTTGTCGAACATGCCGATATGATCTAACGTGCAGGGAAGGTCGGTGGAACAGAGTGTGCAGCGTACGCGGTGAATATCGCCATGCAGCAGAATGCTTCGCACGTCTTTCCCTCTAAAGTTCGACCGGCCATTCGAATATGCTACACGCGCGTCGTCACTAGAGCTTCCCAGCAAGCCCACTCGCTCCTCGAAACCGTCGATATTCTGAGTGTAGGAGCGTAGGAGCTTCTTCTTTGTGTCTAATGTTTTGAGAAACTTGTGAGTGGGGGAGGGCGCACTCCGGTCGATGCGTTGCTTCAATTGTGCGATGAAAGTGTAAAATGCTGCGGTTAACAAGGGATCTCGAAAGACCGAGGCGTCGAAGAGCTCATGTCCCTTTACGAATATGTCCGGGTAGCGTTGTTTGACCAAATCGTAGAGTCCGTCAGCAGAGCGAAAATCCTGTTTGTAAGCAGTACATTATCAGACACGGCAGGCATGACTACGGGTTCACGCACTGGTATCCCGCACGAGCATGAGATGCCAGCGCCAGACAAGACCACAATTC